TAAATAAAAAATAATTATTCATTTATTGAAATGTTTAGTGAATATATCGAGGGAGATAAATATATCGAAAAGTCAGGGGTAAATATACATACGAATATATACACAATTCTGGAGAAGTTTGCGGACGTGGGTGTCGACATCCTGAAGGGTGCTATGAACATTGAAGATCTAAAAAACGTGTTTTATGTGATGATTGTAGAAAACCTACAGCTTCTGCTTGTGGATGTTGCAAAAAACATTCTAAAGGATATTATGTCATGCAATTTTATGCTCGACAACTTCAAATACTTGAAGACCACCCATAACTCTTCGAGGCATCCTTTGGGCCTGCAAGACAATAAAACTTAACTATTTTTTTACTATAAAAACCTAATTGATAACTAAAAGATTACTATACTCTGCTTCGCTCCGCAACTGCATTGCTCACACCTAAGGTGTATACTCCTTAGTGTTAAGAAACTAATTGTGAATTAAACGGATAACTAATGCTATGCTACGCTTCACATTCAGAGTCGCTATACTCCTCCAGTACAAAAAACTAATAGTAATCAAATATGATAACTATGCTCCGCTTCACTCCGCAACTGTGTCGTACACCCTTAGGGAGTGTACTTCTTAGTAATAGAAAGCTAAATAGTAATCGAAATAGATATCAAAAAAGTACACCAAGCATAAAGTATATATAAAAATACACCATTCATGTAAGTTTTTTATATATTATATATAAGTTATCAAGAATACGATAAAAACTTGAAAAAAAACAAGAATGAATAGTATTATCAAAAAAAAACACAACCGTGTATCTAAAAAGCCCACTATTCTATTACTTTAATACATGCAAGCATCTATATAATAAAAAATCATACATGAATCGTTTCTTAGATTAGATATAAGGTTATAATAATTCTGCATAAGAAAAATAAGTGCATAATAATTAGATTGTATATGTCATTAGACATTCTTGTAATTTGTTCTTAACAAATTATTTTTTATTAAAATGTATTCAAATCATAAATGATTATCGAATATATAGTAGATATATATGTATTGAGCTCAATATTGTTAAAATAAGAATTAACACTATGTATATACATTTAAAACGTTACTTATAAATGCACAATAATTCAAAGTTTGCTATTTTTAAGCAAATACTCTCATCAATATTTGTAGAGCTATTGCATTGATAGTATGCCAATTCACATGATTATACACCTCACTAAGCACGTAACTAAATATTTTTGTAAATATCATATGTAATTGAAAATAAAAAAATCATATATACAGTACAATTTGTTTGATATTATATTTAATTATATATCAAATACACAAAATAGTCAAATTGGTGTCTTTAATGCTTCAATAATACATATACTTCTAATGCACTAGCCCCATAAAATAAGAAAATAAAGATACTTCTTATATACTATATTTTGTAACAAAAAAATCTTCACAAATAATAAATGCAATAACTATCAAATTAATACAAAAATTGTATTATTTTTAATCAAATAAACTAAAAAGCGATGTTAGTACATATTAAATTAATAATATAACTCATTGTTGCAAAAGAAATATAAAGAGCCACAAATCTCATAATTAACCTTTAAGCGAAACTAGTTAGACTAAATTTTATATCCTTCAATGTTTGACTGCACAAATGTCAGATTATTGTAACCATATTGATAGTAAAATGATAAGTAATATAATTTAGTTTATTTATTTTTTTATAAATTCAAAAATATGAGATTACATCAGAATTTCTTTTTAAAAACATTATTTTATTCACTAAATTAGAATCTAGTTGTGTATGTTTTGCAGTAATGCAATTTCCTGTATCTGAAAACAACCTTTCACTAGGTACAGAAGATGCAGAAATTGACAGGTGCTTTCTGGCTAATTTTGCTACATTTAAGAACTTCTTTATCCATATTGTCTACCATTCAAATAGATTCATATTATCTTTGGCAATAGGAGTTCATGTGAGGTCCAAATAGCATTCTAATTCAGCTAAAGGATTAAAATCAGTATGGGTTGAAGTAGACAAACCAAAAATTGAGAAATATAAACAATTGTGATGTATATTGTTACTATTTGAGGAAGTAGTATATATTGATATTATTTGTTCATGATTTGAAGTAGCTATATTTTTGAATTGACAAGCTAAATCAGCTTTGGCTCTTTCTTGAGTTTTTTAATCCCAACTGGTGAGTGTTTTTAGCCGTAAATCCAATAGTGCTGCCAACAAACTAACTATTAATAGTTTATTCCAATAATCAAACAAAAAATTATAGATTATTTGACATATTGACTTGATAAGATAAGTGGTTTGAGAAGAATCATTAGTTAATTCTGAAGCATCATTTTCTGAATTGTCACTATTATCATTTGATAATTCTTCATAATAATTTTTTTTTTTTTTTTTTTTTATTCTTTGACAGGTCTTGCTGTAACTTGACCTCTTAGTTTTTAGTACATTCAATTTATATACATTTATTTCTAAAACTAAATATAAGCCCGACTTCACCTAGTTGCCTATAAAGGTACCTAGGTGCAACCCATCGCACTAGCTCACAGATAAGCTAGAAAAAGCGCTCTTTTTTAAGAACTTGTCCAAAAGGGATTTACACCCTTTTGTAT